GATCATGTTGAAATCTAATTCCTCCAAATTGTAGCAGCGAGTTGGAGCAGATGGATATCCTTGGGGAAGGACCCTAAAGATATGTTATATTCCTTCTCATGTACAAGCAAACTGTGGTTGATGTCTCTGAGTAAGATCAAGAGGATAACATTAGCCTAATGTAGCACACAAAAAAACAGTCATATTTATCTTGCTGGACCTCTTGTATAACTTGTACAATGCCTAGCACAACAGACACTTGTTTAAATCATGGGAACTACCTTGTTTAAATCATAATAGTTAACTGTTATCTCCAAAGCCTGCTCTTTTTCTCCTGGGTCACACAGGATTAATAGAAAGCATTCGTGGAGATTAGCACTTTCCCTCCCATTGTTTCTTAATGAAAGATAATATTTCTTGTGTCCTTCCAGAATCTAACACTCCCTGATTATTTACTACAAAGAGGAGTGTGTGTGAGACTCAGGGCTTCCATATTGCCTGACTAATTAAAACCAAGTGGAGGGCAGACTCCTCTATCTTTTAAAGACATTTTGCTTGGCTTTAAGCTGGTAAAGACAAGAGCTTTCATCACATCCATGAGAATTACATATTCAGGTGTAGACCAAAAATAAATTTCTAAGACCCCTGCAACCAACTGAATGGCCCCTCCTCTTGGTCAGTGGGATTTCAAAGAAACCTGAAAAATTAGATAAGGTCATGATGGGAAGTGGCGGGGGGGAGTCAAATGTGCCTCATTATACCCTCCTCCTTTGGAATTCAGGCACAACTGACAAGCATTAATATTGAAACAGAAATCTTAAGACTGAAAAAGCAGACTCTTTGTAGCAATACGATACCAAATTCCAACCTTACTCTTAGCATGGCATCACACAACAGATAAAGCAGGCTCTAGAAGTATCAAAGTATTTTATCTCAAAATACGTCGAAATGGCCCTGCACAGCTGTTTCTTATGGGATAAATTGGCATTCTGTAGAGAATCCCCTTCCCTAGGTGTTTTTCTGATCCTAAAGAGATTAGCGGAGAGTCTAGCGTCTCTTAAAGGTCTAAATAGAAAACAGTTGCCATCTATTGCCTCTAAGGGTGGCCACCTGTGAGATTTCATCTACGTAATAAGAACCTTGGTCTCCACAACCCCTAATCTTAACCCAGACACTCCTTTCTGTTGATTCCAGGTCTTTAGATAATAACTTAGCTCTTTCAAGCAATTACCGATCAGAAAATCTTTGAATCTACCTATGACCTGTAAGCCCCCCACACCCATAACTTCAGATTGTCCCACGTTTCTGGACCAAGCCAATATACACCTGACATGTATTGATTGAAGTCTATGTCTCCCTGAAATGTATAAAATCAAGTTGTAACCCAGCAACCTTGGGTACCTGTTATCAGACCTCCTGGGAGTATGTCACAGGTCATCGTCCTCACTTGTGGCTCAGAATAAATAATCTTCAAGTATTTTACTGAGTCTGGCTTTTCATCAACACAGGTAAAGACAGAAATTGGATTTTTGTTTTTTATTTCTTCATCTGTAGTTTTGTAGTGATTCTGGTGCTACCTACTGTAACATTTCGATATACTCCAAACTTCCATTTTCATACCTTAATATTGTCTTTTTATTCCCCTGCTATTATGGTACATTTTACATCATGATTATGGTACATCCAGTAATTCCAAAAAAGGTTTTCACTATCCTCTGCCATTCAACATTAACTTATATCACACAATCTTGGAACCCCCACCAGAGGTCATATGAGGATTTCTTCTCCTTCAAGTTTTTCTTTTTCTTTTTTTCTTTTTATTTTTTGAGACACGGTTTCACTCTGTTGCCCAGGCTAGAGTGCCGTGATGCCATCATGGCTCATTATAGCCTCAACTTCCCAGACTCAAGTGATTCGCCCACCTTAGCCTCCCAAGTAGCTGGGGCTACAGGTGTGCACAACAACACCTGACTATTTTTTTTCCTATTTTTTGTAGAGAAGAGGTCTCGCTAGGCTGGTCTTGAAATTCTGAGCTCTAGAGATCTTCCTGTTTCAGCCTCCCAAAGTGCTGGGATTACAGACATGTCCACTGCACCCAGGCCTCCCTTGTTATTTATCCTTTTACCCACAACCTTAATAGACAAGTTAAAATCATTATCCTGTGCTAAATACACTTCATTTTCCAATTTTTTTTTTCATCCTTGCTGCCTTTAAACTCATCGAGACTGGGATAATTAGAACAGATCTGATAGGGTAACTTAGGTACAGTGGATGCAGGAGCTAGAGTAGGTTTCCTTTCTCTAAGCTATTGTTAATGTGCTGTCAAACCCTTTGTAATGATCCTGTCAATTTCTTCCTTCTCTATTCCCTCCCACACCCATCCTTCAAAAAAGTTTTAAAAATCATTCTACCTGATTCAGTGTTGTTTTCTCTTATTCTGGTTACTATCTCCACCCCAGCCCATTAACTTTCTTCTAAACAGCTTAAACTTTCTTTTTGTTGACAAAGCTCATGATCAGTAGCTGTGAGAACAAATCTGCCTTGGCATTCTGTGTATTTGAATCCTTGTTTTCTCACTAGGACTATCATACGGGGAATCATGAAGAGTTTCCCCTCATCACAATGTCTACAGTAGTTAGGGGCAGAGGCATAAAATTCAGGGAAGCTCAACATTGATTATCATAAAACCAAGCTGGGTTGCCACTGCCCTTTATATGTTTAATGCTTCCACAGAGCCCTGTTAACAAAATGCATATAAAGTTTTTATTTTCAGTATAAAGTTAAGGTATTTCAGATGTCGCACACTCCAAAAGGGGCATTGATATTTAATTTAGGTCTTCTGTGGATCAAATACTGACCACTGCAACAAGTTGATGATTAGTAGTCATACCAAAGAACTGTTTCCATTAAGCAGTTTCTAAAATCAGCAGTTCCATTGCTGTTTATTCTGAGAATTCAAGAAAGTGGAGATTCCTCAGTACTACTCAAAAATATATTTTTCGTTCCAAATTTCATTCCACTATTGCCTTTGGTTTATATGTAGGTGTATCTGATAAGTCCAGGCAGATGCACATAGGTTGGTTGAGAGACCTAGGGACTTAGGTGGAGAAGGTCCCACTTTCTCTATGAAACCAGAATCTTAATCTTAGAATATAATTACCCTTTAGGTAGCCAAACAAACAAACAAACAAAAAACAGAGAGAATAAGAAATAGAGATGGACAATCTTTCCTGAGAAACAAGATTGGTTTAATATATCTGCCAGTTACATGTAAGTGAATAGTGGAAAAGAGAAGAGGCAATTGGTATGCATAAGAAATTTTAATGTACGGTGAACCTGCTTTGAATAAATGAAGTTTAATCAATTTCTCATGTTCTGACAGAACATATTAGCATTCTCTTCTTTTGGGGAAAAATATGAATGGAAGTGGGCCAACAGGCAGCAGGAAAACAAGGAGCAGAAAGTTCCTCTCCTGCACTGCCTATGCTCAGTGTAGCAGTCTGAAAAGGCAAAAAGATTATACATAGAATTATCTCACCTTCTACTGTGTAAAAGTTTATGGAATAACAGAGAGCGTCCTGAAATAGAAGTTAGTTTATATCTCAATTTGCCAAATTAACTGTGCACTTTGCCTTTCTAAATGTTTTAATCTACAATTTAACAAATTAAATTAGATGGTACTTCTAAGTTCTCTTTAAGATTTAAGGTTCTGTGATATTACTGTTATAGTGTCTATCCAGACTTCATTACCACGTTCATTGTTGGTTGCCTCTAGGGGAAAGGGATGATGGTTTATGCACCCTGCACATGGCTAGTGTTCTACAATTAGTCCATTTTTAAAATGCTGGTTCAGATGGGGGAAAGTATGTAGCACTTGCTTCAGTTCAAGGAGTTGGAAGGAATATACATATATACACTTGCATATATTTTTGGAAGTAGAAACAAGAAAGTAATGCTTGGTTGCTTCTGAGCAAGGTGACTGAGGGACCACGAGTTTTGGTGAATGGGGAAGTTTTTTTTCAGTATCAGTTGTCTTTTTATTTATATTCTAGTCTCCTTGCTCTTTCTCCTCCAGGCACATGGGCCTTCTTGCTCTTCCTCAAACATTTCAAAAACCTCCCAACTCAAGGTCTTTGCATTTGTCATTCTGGTGTTTGGAACACTCTTCCTCCAGGTACACCCACGGTAAACTCCGTTACTTTATTCAATAAGGCCGAAATGCCACGTTAATCCTGAGACTTCCTTGACCACACAGTATGTAATAACTTTTCCCCACAGACTCCCCATTACCCCTTAACTAACAACCCCTAATACCTTTAACATTTAGCAGCATCTGACATATTAAATATTTACCTGTTTGTTTAGTGTTTGACTGCCTTTCGGAACACTGCCTGAGCTAACAAACAACACATACTTGTTGAATTAAGAAACTTATTGTTTGAGGTTTTTAAAAAAGTAATCACAAAATTACTTTTTCAACAAAAACAACCAGTTAGGGAATAAACATTTGATAAATTAACTTTCAGATATACAGTATTGTAGGATAAAGTCCAAACTTCTTTTCTCAACACATGGATTTTCCTTATCTGTCACGTGTTTGGCCACAGTCAAGTAACCGGTTCCCTTTTCTCATGCATAAAGTGGGGCCATTAATAATTACTTTACAAAATTAAGATGCAATGCAGATGAAAGCGCTTTTTTAACCGTGGCACTATAAGATACCATAAGCACGAGGTTTCTTCCGCGCTTGGAGCCTAGGAATAGTATATACTGTCCAGCAGCGCGAGGGACCTGAGGTTTAAGGAGGGAAAAGCCTCCAGCGCAGCTCTAAGAGACGCTACTCTGGTGCGGGGCTGGACTCCTGGCCGCCGTTGCCGGGGAAACCGTCCGGGCGTCCACAGTAGCTCTGCTCGACCACTTTCCAGTCTTAGCAATAGGTGGAGCGCGGGCCAATCAGAAGAGGCCGGAGGGGCGGGACGGGCAGTGGCCCGGGGTAGGCTGGTCCGCGGTCTCGCTCCCTGACTTCCGGGTCGCGGTGCTTGCAGGGAGAGTTCCGTCGTTTCCGTTGCCGGCTGTTTGCAGTGGGGAAACCGAGGCAGCTCCTGCTTTCCCTAGTTCTTCCGCTCCTGTGAGGTGGCTGCTGTTTCTTTTCCTCTTGCCCAGCGCTGCATCGGTGCGGCTGCGCTGAGAGTGCGCGGGCTGGCGAGCCCCGCGGGGTTCTGCGGGAACCCGAGGGCGCCTGGGCCGGCAGGTCTTTGTGCGATCCCTGGCCTCCCATTCGCGGGCGGCGAGCTAGGGGGGTCGGCGCAGCGACGCCCAGACCCCTGGGGTGCTCTGGCGCCGCGTGCGTCTCCCCCACTGGGCAGTTGCGCACCTTTTGTCATAATGAGCGCGGACTAGGTGGATTGGTTTCGAAGATACTGATCAACCCAGCTGGCTATGCGCTGGTTCTGCACTGACCTGCGGGGACTTGGAGTGTGACAGTCCCTCAGGCCCGAGTCCAGAGATGACGTGTCTGTGGGAATGTTTAAGGCAGGAAGGAGACGAGCAATTTTGTTTTTAAGTATCTCCCCCTCACTAGTATCTCCCCGACTTTCTCATTTAGAAGCTGAAGCATTTTCTTATGACATAAGATCCAGTTGTATCGAGTGTGTACTTAAAAACAACAACAAAACTTGTTAGTATTTCTGCCCTTGACCTATTGAACAGAAAATCAAGAATGAGCTAAGGTGTTATATACTCCGTGTTCAATTTGTATACTTAAGTTTGTTAGCCATAAGTAGTGTTTTTATTTAATGGCATCACCTGACTGGGACAGCTGTAGCGAATTATCCACAAGGGATAAGAAGACCGTATTGTATAAAAACAATTCTGATATTTTGGTATATTTTAATTGTTGATTAATTGAGGTCTTTTTGATCTTGAACTATTGAGCCCAATTCTCAAAGGATGAGAAATTAGGAAACTTAGATGTGAAATACAATTATGTAGCAAAAAGTGCAAGCCATTATTTTGTTCTGTCAAGCCATTGAATAGTTTGACTAAGTTGTTTGAATTTTAGTTTTGAAAAAGTGATAATTAAGTGGTATATATTACACCTGCCATTGTTTTTAGATGCCTAATTAAACACTGTCACAAAACAAACACAATGGAATAATAGATACTAACATGATTTGAGATTTGATCAGTTGTATAAACTAATTTTTTTAATTTTAAAATTCAGTTTAAGGTCATTTAAGTTTGTCTTGTATATTTCCTTCTTCCAGGAAAAAAAAAATGTTTGTTTCTTTGTGGGAGTTCTTCTATGGGCACTTTTTTCGATTTTGGATGAAATGGCTCTTACGACAGATGACTGGAAAGTGTGAATTGCAGCGAATATTTGATACCTATGTAGGTGCACAAAGGACACACAGGATAGGTAATGTTATCTGAAAAAGAAAAAATACTAATAAAAGCTTAACTGAATGTTTTTCTCATCACTCACAGTGACAGATGTATTTCTTGTGTATCCTAACAACTCAGTTAAACTGAATTTCATATGCTTTGAAATCCCACTTTGACTCCTTTGGCTCTAAAATTGTATGACTTTATAGAAAAAGAATGATTATTTAATTGCTTATTTGTGGAAAGAATTATCTTCTCTGACTCCTGAAGTTTATCAGTAATTCCTTAGACTGTAGTTGTAACCTATTTTCTGGTGAAAAATCTCTATACTTACACAATCCCTTTGAAAATGTCATTCAAATGGTGGGAAGAATGAGTTCCTCAGTCTAGATCCGTTTTTATGCTTAGCATCTTCATCCGTCTTTTACTTTCTTACTGTTACTTATGAAAGGACAGTAATTAGGTATCCAGTGGTCCGTGGGAAAGATTATTAGACTCATTCTCACTATCCAGTGGCCACATTATATTGAGCATTTGAAATGTGACTAGTCTAAATTGAGGTATGCTGTAAGTGTAAAATAAAAACTGCTTTTCAGAGACTTTGTAAGAAAAAAAGTCTCAGTAATTGTTTATATTCTTTTTATGTTGAAATGGTAATATTGTGCATATGTTGGGTTAAAAATATATTAAAATTAATTTTATCTTTCTTTTTACTCTAATGTGGCTATAGAGAATTTTAAAGTACACAAATGGCTCACATTTTGGCTTGCATCATATTTCTGTGGAACAGTTTTGCTCTGTTACCTTCTAAAATAGATCAGTTTCTGGTGCTTCATTGAAAATATTACTCTAAAATTTGAACACAGATGAGTAAGAACTGTGGTTTGAAGTCACTTCTTTTCAGCCAGGGTAAGGAAGATGAGGAAAGTGCTGTAGCTCATGTTCTATGTTAAATGGAAAATTGTAAATTAGCCAGATTTCCTTTTGTGTTGACCAAGTGTGCTTTGACTGAGAAGTCAACCCCTGTAAGGTTGAGAGAGTGGAGTACTGGCAATTGGAATCTGTATCCAAGACAACATTGGAAGAATGACAGACAGACGCTGCCTCACGGGCAGCTGGTTGATTAATTTTCCTAGTTTTCTTACAGCTTCATGGCTGACTTACATTATTGCCGCTCTTTTGATTTGCTCTTTTGACCATTCAGAAGAACAAAGTACCTCTTGATAAGAAATCTCTTCAGACAGTATGGGTTGGTGTTTTATAGTGTGGGGGAAGAATATATGTATAAAGGCATTCGTTTGTGGCAAAAGCATTTTTCTTAAATTTTTCAAATTATTGAGAAAAGGAGATTATTCTTAAATGTGCCAGTAAATTTTTTGAAGAGACCAATAAAAATGTTCCTGTCATTCTTGATATAGAAACCAAGAATGGAGAAGCTATTTGCTATTTATCTGGTGACAGAATGGTTGACCAGATAATCTGAAGTTGTTACTCCATTGTTGTTGATTAGGTTGCTATCACCTCAGATCTAAATGCTCAGGCTAACAAATGCAAATGCAGCAGAGAGCACTTGCATCATAGTCTTAAGATGAGTTTCTGGGACCTGAGCTGTTGTGACACAGTCATGGGTGAATTTGCAGGGATTAGTAAGACACTTTGGGGTCTACACAGAAACAGATGATCCCAGGTAATGAGGTTGGTGTCACCTCTTTGGACTGTTGTTGTGTTTGGTTGAGCTTTTTGAAATCAGATTTATACTGTAAGATTAAATTTTAAAATGCTTGCTGTTATGTAGAAATTATATCTCCTGAACTATTAGTTTATTACTGGTTTGATATTTTTACTAGTTGTTTATTATGGAGTAATTTACAAATAGCACTCAAATAGTAACATCTTTATTTATTTATTTATTTTGTCATTTCAGAAAATTCCTTGACATACTCCAAGAATAAGGTAGGATAATACAAAGGCAATAACTCTTAAAAAACTTAACTTGGACATATTTTTTCTTAAAAAAATAAAATGCCTCGTTAGACAAGTGTTTTCTATAAAGAGCATTGAGTGAAATTTTCCCCCTTTAGAGGTAATATTCTGTTTTCAAACATTTCTCTATGTATGTGTGTTTTTCTTGTGTATTTCAAAGAAAATACTTGAATAATTTGTCCTGTTTTGAGGTTGTAACTTGCTTATTTTGCTTTAAAAGTTGATAGCTTTTGGGAAAGCAGGACCTTAGGGTGAAAGTCTTCTTTTAGCCTGTCCTCAGGATAGATTAGATGAGAGAAAAGCAACTTAGGATAAAGAAAACCCTGGGTTGTGTACCTTTTGGGCTAAAATAATTTGTAACTCATGCTGTGTGTTAGTTAAGCTTTTGCTGTGTAACAAACTATTATAAAATCTCAGGGGCATAAAACGATGTGCTGTTTCTTGCTTATATGTCTATGAGTCAGCTGGAGAAGTCTTACTTCAAGCTGGGGCCAGATTCTTGTCCACTCCATTTGTCTCATCTGGGACTCACGTTGGGGGTTAGCAGGTATCTGGTGAATGTCTTTACCATGGATAACTGAAGGCCCAACCACACAAACATCTTTTAAGTCTCTATGTGTCCTATCTTTTAGCAACCTGTTAGTTAAAATAACTTACGTGGCCAAGCCAAGTCAAGGGGTGGAGAAATATGATATGCCCACCGTAAGGCTATGGTAGGAAGTAGGTTATATAATTCAATCACAGGGTAATGAAGAATTGGGACCAATAATGCAGTCTGCCAGAAGCTGTTACTTCCCTGTTGTAGTTCACAATTTTGTCTACACATAAATTATTTGATGTGGCAAGAATAGAATATGGGTCATCTAGACCATTGTTTGAAATCCCATAATAGATCACAACTAGTATTAAACAGTAATAGTAATAGAATAGAAAATATTTAGAAATCACTGGTCATAATATGGTTAAATATGTTTTAGGAATTTTTTATACTATTATAATTATTTTTAATATGTATGTGTGCATCTGTATATATTTTAGACATCCACATAAATGTTTGTTCTTGGTCATGATGTAAAATGTGGCTCAAGGTCAAAAATGTTGATTTGCTACTATCTAGTGATATGAGGTACTGAATCATGTCAGAAATAAAATAGACCTTCTTGAGTGTTGCAAGCATATCTGTTATGTTCTGGAGAGTAGCCTTTAAATTAGGTACTTTCATGATTTAGTTATACTCTTTAAGAATGGTCTATGTAAGAGTAACTCATACATATAAGTGAATATTTGGGGGGAGAGTCCAGAGTTACACTCCTTTGTTCAGAATTGTTAGAGAGTGGTTAATATATATATATATATATATATATATATATATATATATATTTTTTTTTTTTTTTTTTTTTTTTTTTGAGACAGTCTCACTCTGTAAGCCAGGCTGGAATGCAGTGGTGTGATCTCGGCTCACTGCAACCTCCACCTCCTGGGTTCAAGCAGTTCTCCTGCCTCAGCCTCCCAAGTAGCTGGGATTACAGGCATCCACAACCCCACCTGGCTAATTTTTGCATTTTTAGTAGAAACAGGGTTTCACCATGTTGGCCAGGCTGGTCTCAAACTCCTGACCTCAGGTGTTCCTCCTGCATTGGCCTCCCAAAATGCTGGGATTACAGGCGTGAGCCACCATGCCCAGCCAGTATGTTTTTTAAAAATGAGAATATGGAGGTCCTGAAAGCTAACAAGTTGCTAGTTCTAAAAATTTATTTACCTTATCTATTTATATAATTCCTTTATTTGAAACATAGGATGCAGTTTCCCAAAATAACAATATTATAAATTGTAGCAGATGTACTTGAGGAGGTGTTATATTTCTGGTTCATTACAAGAATTGTTCTTAAACCTAAGGATGAATCAAAATCTTCTGGAGGCTTGTTAAAACACAGATTATTGGGCCCCATCCCCAAAATTTCTGATCTGGTTCTGATCCTATTTCTGGCATATTCTCAGGTGGTAGTTCTGTAGCTGTTCCTGCTGGTGGGAGCAGTGAATTGAGGCACTGATAGCATATTAGTATGCTATCTGGAACTATTGTGGATCGTAACTGCTCTTTGTTTCCATAGGAAACAGTGTGTGCATTTTTCAAACTGACCTTAAACAGGTTGGTTTGGAACTATTTGGGTGCTGAAGCTTCTAGAATAAATTGTTCTGTGAAGCCAGTTTTCTTTAAGCCGAGACATTGTAAAGAAAGTGAAACCATAGCTGAGCTCTTTATATTATACCCACAATCCCCAGCCTCCAACCTTAATTCTTCAGTAGTGTTTTCTTCAAATACTCTGACATCTCTCAGCCTGGAAGTTGACCAACGCTACCACTGCTGTCCACTAAACTCTTTCTGGCCCCTTTCATTATTCTCTGACTTTATCTACTACTATTCTTGCCTTGCTCACTGGTCATCACCACTGTGCTCTTATTATTTTACAAACACATCAGCATGCTTCTAGTTTATGACCTTTGCACCAGTTCTCCTGTAACTAGAATTATCTTCCACTTAAAAGCTTAGCTCACTTCCTCATTTTCAGGTTTTTCCTCAGTTATGACATTCTCTATGAGATTTTCCATGACCATTCTCTACCTAAGGGTACACCCTTGTCTCTCTCTATCATTCCCTTTCCTTGGTTGTTTCACCATAGCACAGACCATCACCTAGCATATGAAATATTTTACTTACTTTTCCATTCCTGAAAAGAAAAATACATTTTGTTTTGTTCACTGATGTTTTTCTAGTACCTGAAACAGTATCTGGAATGTGTTAAGGACTGTGAATATTTATTGAGTGAATGAATGAATAAGTAAGAAATATAAAAGGATAAAGAATAAGTAAATGAAAATTTACTTTGTTTTCAGAATAGAGTCTGTAGTGTTTATATACTAATTTACTATACAGGTTCTGGAACTAGGGACTCAGTATCACATCTGTCAGTGTACTTGTTATTACTGCATTTGTAACAGCAGTTTTGGTCACAGAATTTATTAATGAGGTTGTATATGTAGTAAAGTCATGCCAAGCTTAAGTGGAACAGTACGTAAGATGCTACATTTAAGAACTGTAGTGTCTTGGTCAAATCCATTCAAGGATTTGAATGACTACCATATGTTCAACATTCAAATGGAGTCTTTGGGATACACAAAAGGAAAGACTGGAATTGAATGTAATTATAAACAGAAGTTTAGAGAAGAAAGAGGTAAATGTAGACTAGAGTGTTTGGGGACTTTAATCATTAAAAGTTAAAGAAAAATAAAATGCTTATTATTTTTTTTACCTCTGTTGCTTGCTATTAAAAAGTTCTCTTGAAAAGTAAACATTAAAATGAAGCTATAGCTTTATTATTCAAAAGTAGAAATTGCTGATAGTATTTTGGAGGGCATCCTGCAAAGAGAATGGTCAACAAATGGGTAAATACTGAAATTAAATCACTTATGATTTATTCTTTTAAAGTTTTAAATCCAAGACAAACTTTCCAATAAACAGAGATAGTCTTATCAATTTAAAAATATAATTTTTATGTGTATTACACCTAATTTGCATATTCCGTTTACTTTGTAGGGTAAATCTATTTCTTATTTTGTGATATTTTGGTTTACCTAATTACATTTTTATTCTATGAAAAAGTCTGGGTTCGAATCCTGATATTAATTACTAGTTGTCAACTTATTTTCTCATTGTAAAAGATATTTATACCTACATCATTGTTTTGAAATTAGAGATATTACTATTAAAGCAGTCTGAGAGAATGCCAATACATGATAAGTATTCAACAAATAATGGTTACTAATAATACTAATGATAATAGAATTAAGCCAACAATATACCATAATCATTTTAGAAGTTTGATGTTCATGAAAGCCTCTTTGGTACTTCAGATTACTTAGCATTACCAATGATTTCTATGAATAAAAGTGATTTTAAGTTATCTTGAATTATTATCCTGTTGGGTTGTGAACTGTCCCACAGTGTACATTGTTTCTTTGTTAAAAATTGAGTCTCCATCTCCTGACCCAACATGGTGAAACACTGTCTCTACTAAAAATACAAAAAATTAGCTGGGTGTGGTGGCTCATGCCTGTAATCCCAACTACTTGGGAGGCTTGAGGCAGGAGAATCTCTTGAACCTGGGAGGAAGAGGTTGCAGTGAGCTGAGATCGTGCTACTGTACTCCAGCCTGGGCAACAGCGAGACTCTGTCTCAAAATAAAATAAATAAATAGATAAAAACAAAAATTGAGTCTCATTTGCTTATATTTTAGATTAGGGACTATCCATTAGATATTAAGGATTACTAAACTTTGGGATTTATAAACAAAAATTAATGACTTACTTGAATTTGAGGAGTCTAATTCAGTATTCTGCTAAGAAGTCTGACTGCCATGCAATTTATGACAGTGTTGCAAAGCTCCACTGTACTTATGCATATACAGGCATTTGAATTTCCAAAATTTCGGGAGGAATACTTTGGCAATCTATTAGTGTTTTTGGTGGCTATCTTTTTTTTTTTTTTTTTTTTTCAACTGCCATCTTAGGTTTTAAATAATGTAGCTGTTGAATAGTTGAATAATAAATAAGTTTTATGGCATTTGTTTAGTTTTCTTTTAATGCTATAGTGATGCACATTTGCATTTTTGGGCCTCTACCTTTCCAAAATCTAGACCAGGCGTCCCCAGACTATGGCCCGCGGGCCGCATGTGGCCCCATGAGGCCATTTATCTGGCCCCCCGCCGCACTTCAGGAAGGGGCACCTCTTTCATTGGTGGTCAGTGAGAGGAGCACAGTATGTGGCAGCCCTCCAACGGTCTGAGGGACAGTGAACTGGCCCCCTGTGTAAAAAGTTTGGGGACACTTACTCCAGACATTAAGTACCTGACCTTTATATAGCAACACAGGCACTATAGTTCAAAAATGAAGCATTCACACTCTGTGAATAT